GGGGGGGGGGCTGCCCGCCCGCCCGGCGGCGGCGCGCCCTGGGCCGGGGGCGCCATGCAGTGCGCGGACCCCGCGGCGGCCGCGAAGGGGCCGGAGGGCGAAGGCAGGGCGGAGCCGGCGGCGGCGGGGAAGAGCGGCGGGCGCGGCGCCAAGGGCTGGCAGTACAGGTGGGCGCGCCGGGCCGGGGGCTGCGGGGCCGCCGCTGCCTGCGGAACTCGGGGCGGGGCCGGTGTCCTCCGCGGGGGCTGCCCGAGCGGGGCGGGCTGTGGGCTCTGGCTGTTCTCTGCGTTGCCTCTCGGCTGTGGCGGTGGAACAGGCGGCAGCTTTGAGGCCGTCGGTGTGCTTTTGCGTTAGTGCCCGGCCACGTGGTCAGGCTGCGGGAACGCGCCCCAGTGTTACTATCTTTGGTGGCTTCTAATTTCCTAGCAGAATGCGGGGAGCTGTTCAAACTTGTTGGCAGTGTGCATTTTTTTTTTTTTCTTTTTTCCAGCATTTCCAGAAAGCCAAACTTTGTGCCGGCTTTGAGCTCGGCCTGTTTGTACCAGCAGAACCGTAGGTGCTTGGTGCACCCACACGGTGGGTTAGTGCCTAAAACAGCGGGTTTAGAAACCGGTTTCTGCTGGAAGTTCTGTATTTGGTTTTCCTCGCACAGGGCGTGGGTGGCGTGTGGTCACGCAGCATAGAGAAGTGCGGTCCTGTGTCAGCACGGAGTCTGTGCAGGAGTGTAATTCAGCGTTGGGTGAAGTATAGGCAGCCTCTGCTCATAGCAGTGCCTCCTTCTATGCTTGTAAGGGCTCCATTTCTTTGGAGTGGTGGAAGATGCTTTGTTTCTGCACTAACAGAATTAGAGAGTGCTTGAGAAACTGCTCTTCCAGACATCCGACAGGAAATTATCTTGCTTACTTAGGAGCGTGTGATCAGCATCAGAGTGTCTGAGAGCAGCTGAAGCTGAGCTGCCTTTTCCCCACTGGTGTCTGTAATAGTGTGACCGCTAAGCTGCAGTGAAGTAGATTACAGAGGAGAGCCCAAGAGGCTGTGCTTCCTGCTCAACTCTTGTTTCCTATTTCCATTTAGAAAGCAGTTATTAGGAGACAGCACTTCAAATGGTTTCAAATTATTCGAAGGCTACTTGGTAAAGTGATTTCACAGAGTGGCCTGGGTTGATTTAAAACTAGAACTTTCAAATTGCTGCTCTGTTTTCAGCAGTTGTTAAGCTAGGAAATCAATGTGGCATTGCCAAGAGGAATTATTTGCATTCAGCAATGCTAGTTTTAATCTTGACCATTTTCATTCATTTCTGCCTTGCTCAGGATGGAATGACTAAAGTAATTCCAAAGCAGTGGGAGTGGGCCTTGGTAGTGCTTGTGTGATACATGAATCATTGTTATTCAAATAACATAAAAATATTGCAACCAGAAAGCAGAATCCTGTGTCTGTGAGCTAACAGAGCTGGGCAGAAGATGTACCAAGGATATGTAACAAATCTTCTCAGCCCCTTGAGGGGCTTTCAGATAATTCTGAGAGAAATGGCTTGCAATAACTGGTTCTCATTTATCTACAAAGCTGAAAGCTAAAAGCCCTGCAACTGCCTGGTGAAACAAGGTTGTCATCCTTAGCTGGCTGTGTGCTAACGTGTTGTCCTCTCACACTTTTCTTCAAATGTGTAAATCAATTCAGCTGCTATTAAAAAATCTTCCAGCATTTATTCTCTTGCTGGTAGAGATACATATCTCTAGGAAATTAATGAACATGTATAACTGATTTTTAAAATCAGGTTGCATTTAAAAACCTGTATGCTTGAATGTTGCCATACAAATATTTGTAAAATGGTACCAAATAGATGTCTCTTGCACCTTTTCAAGGAAACAAGTTAACTTTAGGTCTTGAAAGTTTGCAGGTGTGGTAGGGTTGTGAAATAGTATAGAATGGAAGTAATTTCTGTGGCAGGGAGTCAGTTTCCTAGGCAAGTATCTCTTTTTGCTAGGGGTGGCAATGACAGGTAAGAGGGTTTCTCATGATGGATTCTGTTTGCTGTCCTCAGCATAGAGGAGTTGCTGTTGCAATATTACTCCATGGGCCTCTGGGCTGGAGTAAGAGAGACTGAGAGTCTGCAAACAGAAGTGCAGACAAACAGCTGAGAGAGGGTTTTGGCAAAAAGAGCAGCATTACAGCGTTGTAACTCTTTCAGAAGTTGCCAACAGTTGACACTGACTGCCCTTCGTAAACTTATGAACAAACCAATAACAGCATCCCCATCAAGCAAACACCCCCAAGTTGCTACTGGCTTTATAGCAGTCTTCTGTTTCTGTATGTCAGTATGCAGTAGTGCAACAGAAGACCTGGTAGCTAAAACACACGGATATATTTTAATTCTGTATTTTGAGGTGGTCGTGAACCACCATGGGCAATGTGTTTCATAACAGGTGGTTGTTGCAGTCCCCAGTGGAGGGGGTGGCTTAACCTTTTGCATTTCCATCTGATGTGGCTGCCAAGTGTGCGAGACTGAGCTTGGCTGTGAAAGTGCATAATTTTTTTTTTTTTCTTATTCATTCTGCCTCGTGAAAGGAGCCTAATTAGTTCTAATAAGGGGAAGTGTCTTGAAACTGATACCGTCTTCTTGAGCGGATGTTGATGGGAGCCCTTTTTGTTGAGGATGGAATTGATGCCAGCCTTAGCTGTGAGAAAAGATATGGAATTTCTCTAGTTTCTATTCTTTTCTCTTCATGTTCCAAGAATATTTGTTTGATATTGGAGGGTAAACACAGGGCAATGGCAGCATGTTTATCAGCTCTTTCTGCTGCAGACTTCTCTGTGGCTGACCCAACCCTCCTGTCTCAGAACTGGCACTTGTTATCATAGCATTAATGTAAATTAATAGTAATACAACTAATTCTCACTTAGGCTGCCACGCGATGTGTTGGCTGACCTAATTAGCTTAGTGCTCCAGAGAGCAGGCCAGCATACACACAAGTCCCTTTCATTTGAAAAGTATAAAACAGAACCCTCACAAACATACTGTAAATGTCACCCTGGAGCAGTTCCCTCTGGTATTTCCCTCTTGGTCTTGCCCTCCTGGTGTTTCCTCAGTGCTATTTAAAACAAATTATCTGGGATCGCACCTGGGTTTTTTGTGCCCTCCTCTCTGCCTACAGCAGTGGGAGGCTTTGTGGTGTTACCTGGGTCTGGTGTGAGGTGATGCCTGCCTCCGTGTCTGCCCCTTGAGAGCCTGTATTCCCTTGGTGTCCTGCTGACTCTGGCACTGTGACGTCAAGCCTCACTTGGTGCTGGTTCTGTTTATGGTGTCTGTGGTGACACACTCGTGTTCTGGACTGGTACTGGGCTACTGAGCTGTGGTGTTTGCTGCTGGAAGGAGGAGCTTCTCAAATAGTTGCTATGAAATCCTGAATTTAGTTTTGCTGTTGTGTGTGTTGTACCCCCTTTCGTTACTAGAAATCAGATCAGAGTGACTGTCGCATTCATTTGATGCATTGGAGAGAAATAGCTCAAAGCCCTGGGACCTGAATTTGTTTATCCTCATTGAGTCTTTGCTTGGAGAATACACTGTATCTATAATGGTACTTGAGAAATGCCATGTTCCAAGTAATTTTCTCATTAGAATAGACAAGAAATCCATTTTTAAAAGGCTCTGTTGACTCTCAGCCTGGTAATCCATGCTTTGTTATTAAAACATCAAGGTTGTTGTGTGTGTACTTCAATGCTTGTTGAAGCCCCAAGTGCTTCTTAAGAGCAGGTTCACGTTCACACATGCTTACAGGCTGGAAGAGTGGAGTTGCAGCAGATGAAAGTTTATATGCAGTGTAAATTAGAACTGCATGTATGTGAGGGGTAATGGAGTTGGGGAAACAGGTTTGGGTGACTGAAGTATACCTCCATAGTGCCTGATGCAATGACCTGAGCTGGGTCAATGAGGTCTGGTTCCCTTCCCCAGCCCTGTGGCTTCGTGAGCAGTTGTCAGGAGCCCTGCCTGCGTCCCAAGGCACAGCTGTGGTGTGGGAGTGGAGATGTGGAAGTTGCTGGGGCAGGGGAGATAAAGGTGGGAGTTGGTTCTGATGCACAGGATGTTTTCCTTAATATTGGGATATTCATTTAGTGTTTAAAATTAAACTGAACAAGCAGAAG